CGTCATTTTTATACCTTCTGATAATTGAGTATTTTGAAGGATAGTAGTGTGTAGAACGGCATTCATTCATACTTTCTGTTAAGATTTGTGGAGGGGGGGGGGTAGAATGCTGTTGCGTGTTGAGTTACTCTTCGAAATTATTTTAATTCTAACTTAAAGGTGTACATTCCAATTTCATTTGTGGTTCTCTTCCTCTCGCAGTTTGTCGTGGAACAATTCATCGTATGCACAATTTGTCGTGATCACAATCATGGTCCGACTTAGCCTAATTGGGGCCCTTGGCGAAAACTTCTTTGGGGGCCCCTCTGCTTCACATGCAGAACCGAACTTTATGTAGATATTTAAATTTTTCAGCTCATTTAGATAACAAGAAAATTAATTAGAACCTAAAATAGGTATAAAGTGCCCCCCTCCCGCCAATGGTCAGATGAAATATTGTTCTGTCCATTTTATTGATTTTATGTCCATTATGCCGAATGTAGTTTCCTGATTGTTAACTTTGCCATCTAGCTGCAAAAATTCATATCCTTGCTGACATTAGTTTGGAATTCAGCTAAATTTTCGCAATTACAATGGCTCAACTAAGCCAGTCAGAAGCCTGTATTTTTGTAAACTTATAGCATTTTGCGATATATAAAAATACAGGCTTTTGATAGGCCAAATGTGCGAAATTGTACCCGAATTCCGCCCTAGAAAGTCATGGATAAGATTGGACATAGATTATCTTCATACGATAGATTAATGAAGAAGCTAACATAAAACTGATGGATTTTACACTGTTCTGATATTTTGTTTAAAAAAAGTTGTGGGGCCCCGGGGCAACTGTCCCGCATGCCCTTGTCATAGTCAGGCTCTGATCACAATTTGTCGGAATTTCGCTGAAATGTATCTATTTACGAAGACGAGTATATTGCATTGTCTACAAAAGTTGACTAAATATTTAATTTGTGGCCGTTCAAATTGTGTCTACGACAAATTGTCCCCCTGACGAATTGTGCGTGACGAATTAAAGCGACCACTGAATTGTAGTAGTTGCTGCATGCATATTTGCTCTACGACTATGATTAAAATAATGAATAGCGGATTAATTATTAATTATGCGTTTATTGACAACAGCGCATTGGTCTATCTCTAGACGCAATGAAATCCAACAAGGATGTAACTTTTTTTCTAATTAATGTAGGTGGCGCTACTATTACTACATTCAGACCGGCTTCAACATACCGGGCCACCTTGAAACATAGTTTCAAAATTTGCACATAAATTGACAAAAATCAAAATTTAACTATACACATCTAATAAAAAGATAATTATAAAAAACTAATGCAACATACATGAAATTACAAAATATATATATCATGAACAGATGTATAGATTCCTTGGTATAAACCGGATAACTATAACACAAAACAAAAAGAAAAATAAAAGTCTAAAATAAAGAAAGTTAATCTGTCAATAGGTAAAACTGACAGTTTGTGAATGGGTCTTTTATAAGTTCCAGTCTCAGTTTTGACACTGACCACTCTTACCTTAGCGTCAGCACTAGGAAAAACTTCTTGTATACTCCCTAATTTCCACTTCAAAGGTGGAATATTGTCCTCTTTAATGAGAACTAAATCGTTAATTTTCAAATTAGGCTGTTCTCGCAACCATTTGGGGCGCTGCTGTAAGCTGGAAATATACTCGTTAACCCATCTTTTCCAAAAATTCTGGAAAAGTTTTTGAGTCAACTGCCAACGTTTTAATGGGGATATGTTTTCGCTTAGAAGGTTCTCTTCTGGTATAGAGGAAAGAGCGGTTCCCACAAGGAAATGTCCTGGGGTAAGTGCTGAAAGCTCAGCGGGATCGTCCGATACTGGACACAAAGGACGAGAGTTCAAGCAGGATTCAATTTGTGCAGTAAGAGTTAAAAACTCTTCAAGGGTCAATTTATGATCACCTATTGTTCTTTTCAAATGCGATTTTGCGGATTTCACAGCAGCTTCCCAAATTCCTCCAAAGTGAGGTGCTGAAGGTGGGTTAAAGTGCCATTTAATTTGCTCATCGGCAAAATACTGATGGATGGATTCTTCTTTTTGAAGAGATTTAACTACTCGATTAATTTCCTTATTTGCAGCAACAAAATTTGAACCACAGTCTGAAAATAATTCATTTGGTTTTCCTCTNTGTACCGTGTTACCGTGAATGACCAAAATTAAGGCAATGTCGACTTTCACTGGTGAATGTCAATCATCGCTTTGGGAGAATGTCCGAAATATCCGATTTAATATTCACTTATTCGTTGACATAATTCTATTTATCCGATATTTTAATATCTGCTAAGGATAGATTAGGAGAGACTGAGTACCTGATATGCATACTGGGCAGTGGCACTAAACCTAAAAAAAAACATTGATGTACCGTTCAAATGTATATCGGGCAGTTGCACTTAACTGGACACCTTGTATATATATGTCGCACATTTACCAAAGCGAATGTCAACATTCAGCGGTGGAAATCAATCCATTTCGGTCATTCACAGTAACATTTTATAACCGTCGTTGAACAGCCGATCCAATTTTGGCTTTACGACTTCTATTCCGTAGACTTGTCATTTTGAATCAATCCGAAAGGCAAGGAAATTCCTGGATCAATACTCCCAGAGGTATGATTTGTTGTGGGAACATGAAGGACTTTGTGACTCAACAGATTTAACTTACCTCTGTCACCATTTAATACACGCGGAGTCTTCGGCCGGTAGGGATCGAACCCACGACCTCTTGGACATGGGCCCAGTGCGCAGTGCATCCCGGTCCCTTGTAACATACACATATACAGAACCGCGCTAAAGANAGGACTTTGTGACTCAGCAGATTTAACTTACCTCTGTCACCATTTAATACACGGGGAGTCTTCGGCCGGTAGGGATCGAACCCACGACCTCTTGGACATGGGCCCAGTGCTCAGTGCATCCCGGTCCCTTGTAACATACACATATACAGAACCGCGCTAAAGATTTCAAATGATTAGTCAGTAAATAAGCTAAATATCAAAAGTCTTAGCCAAATGCAAATCTTAACAATTTTTTATGATTCATTTTTCCCCGTAGAAAATATTTTTATGGTAGTTTGTTTCAGGCTTATATTATTTGAACTCAATTCTAATTTGTTATGCTGCGCATCTACTGAACATTACTGTAATCGAATTAAAAATAATAATTTGTGTAGAAAAATTCATTTTGACGTAATTTTGAGGATTGAGTTAAATATATATTTCTCTTTCCAGTGGAAAAAATCATTTGCCAATACTTCAAATCACAATTTTATTCGCCAAATTTACGATGTATCGCATTTGGCGAATACTTACCACGGGCCCAGTTATATAGTGAAGCCTCTCGACCACTCTCTCTCTGTTCCACAGTAAAATAATCGTTCTTCATTCACCTCAACATGATTTTTCACTTTACTCACCATCATTATCTTGGTGCTTCACGAAAACCGAATCAATGAATAAAATATATTTATGTGTAAAAAGCATATAATTATATAATTATGTGTAAAAACAAATTTACCAATTATAGAACTATTTTAAATAAATAAACAATAATGTCAAGGTTTGCATTTAATTTTATAATAAAAATGAGTCAGCTTTAAAAATGAGAAGAGGTATGTTTGCTTGAAATGCTTAGTTTTTTCTTCCTTATTTAACTTTCGACTCATAAGAAGGAAAAAAGAAAAAATCATTGTTTTAGTGCACTCTTGACTGAAAAATCAGGTTGCCGATCTCTCTCTTCAACTACAAAAAAGAGCTCAGCAAATAAGAAACAAATATTTGTAATACATTTGAATCTACTTATAGTTGTTTTATTAATATTTTTTGTTTTGATATTTTTTTGTGTTTCCTTATTTGACCTTTTTTGACTTCNAAAAAATTATTGCTTTAGTGCACTCTTGACTGAAAAATCAGGTTGCTGATCTCTCTCTTCAACTTCAAAAAAGAGCTCACCAAATAAGAAACAAATATTTGTAATACTACTTATATAATCTACTTATAGTTGTTTTATTAATATTTTTTGTTTTGATATTTTTTTGTGTTTCCTTATTTGACCTTTTTTGACTTCAAAAAAGAGCTCAGCAAATAAGAAACAAGTATTTGTAATACATTTGAATCTACTTATAGTTGTTTTATTAATATTTTTTGTTTTGATATTTTTTTTGTGTTTCCTTATTTGACCTTCTTTGCATTTGATGAAGAGGTTTGCCCGGTCGCTGGCTGGGAAATGTTTTGATGGTCACTCCTAAAGGTTTTCTTTGTTTTCTTTGACACAAAGTCTATGGAAAAAATTCTTTCGCTGTCAAAAGTGGTTAACAATTATATATATATATTTANATATATATTGAGCTCTTTGTCGGTTTTAAAGTCTTGGCAATTCTTATAGCAAAAATAGTATTCATTATTCATAGTTAAGAACTTAGCTTTGATTTTATTTATTCAGTTGACGAATGGGCTTCGAAAAACAAGTACCCTTAAAAGTCATATTTGGAAATTTTCATTGCAATAGATAGGTTACGATTTTGTGGAAAAAATTTTCTGTAAATGTGCGACGTTTGCTTTGAGGTCTTTAGACAAAAGAAAATCTTTGCGTTCCGGCAAGAAACGATCAGACGCAAAACATTGATTGAATTGAAATTCAGTATTCGATCATATGGAACGTAAACAATGAAGCATTTATCTTCGTTGCTTCAAAGTATCAGGTTGAGTCAGAAATAACATTCAGTGCATGCTAAATAAAATACTTCGCAGAAAATCTTGATTTATTTGAATATATTGAATTATTCATTACATAATCTTAAAATATGAAGAACAAGAGAAACATATCTTCCTGATTTAAATGAAGAGGTTAAATCGAAACGTGAATTTAACGTCTCATTTAAACACTGTTATTAATCTTTTGGGGGAAAAAGTTTTTAATAAAGTTTTGATAACTTCTTTAGAGATGAATGATTTTCTTGTTTGTACAGGCAGGTGGAATAATCATGAATAAATCGACGAGGTTGAAGATTACGGATTTAAATCCACATCTCTCCTGTATACTCTGCGGCGGATATTTTATCGATGCCACCACCATCACTGAATGTGTACATTCCTGTAAGTACCTAATTTTATTAAGTTTTTTAAATTTTTAATGTTTTAGGTTTAATACTTTTCTGCCAATAAAATTATTGAAAATTTGGGTTATTTGGAAGCTTTTATATGACGCCAATCTTGATGAGAAAAAAATTGCATTCTAGGTTTAATATCTTATGAAAGAGACGATTTTGTTCATGAATGTAATTAGGGCAGCCCGTATTATGACATCACAAGCTTAACTCTAGAGCTCTGCCGCTGTTTTGTCTATTCACTTCCAAGTCAAAATTTTTGATAGTTTTCCATTGATAGACTAACCTAATCGTGATGCTAACCTCAATAATTCCATCATGAACCATTATATTTTGGATGGTAATCAACATAAGAAGCCATCACTCCAATGTAGGAAGTCGGACTGATTTATGATTGTTCAACATAAGAATAGCAACTTGTTTTGATGGTTTGTTTATGTTAAACCATCAGAAATTTCCATCATAGTTTCTTAGAAATCAAACGTTGGAACGATCATGAACAACCATCATCATGTAGGAATTCGGACTGATTTATGACAGGCCAACATAAAAAAATAAAAAAAATTTTAAAAAAATTGTTTTGGTGGTATATTTCTGGGAACCAACAAGAATTCTCATTAAACCATCGTTGAAATGTATAGTTGGAACCATCACGGATCATCATGAATTGTTGGTTCCATGAGAATCAAACTTCTCTCGATGGTTAACCATCATAGTATTAAAATATAGCATTTTCCTTCATGGAATGATGGATGTTTGCTGACATATCAAAGACCATGAACGCATCATAAAAAATTTTGAAGGGTGGTGACCATCAAATGATGTTGGACCATCCTAAATCGCACTGAAATCAACATAAACCATCAAGAATTATGACTAGGGCTGTAACATTCTAGAAGAGCGGTTCTTAGATGGCCCTAGGCTTGAAGGGGTTCCACGATAACCTGCAATGAGTTTTGAAACCTCTGATTATATGTAGATACAATCTATAATTCATAATTTATTTCATTTTTACGTGGCCTTTTTGAAATTAATTCTAGTAAAATGCCACTCAATGGAAATGGCTTTATTTTTTTAAAGAAAATATATTCCTTTTAACAATATATTGTACATATTGAGGAAGAAAAAAAACAAGCATGTATAAAATATTGTACTAGTATTTCCTATCGCGCATTTCAAATCAAAATAATATAGTTCTTTAATAAAGATATATGTTTCCCTAATAATGATTTTCAACAGCAGTTTTCATCACAAAGTAAACCATAATTAGACTTATTTTATTCGTATACCAATAGCAAATTCCTAACTAAGCTAGATATAGAACAAGGACTGTAAATTTAAGTGTCAGAAATAAAAACCTAAGTTAAGCTTATTAATGATAAAACGAGGAAAAATCTTCATTTCTTTGATTAAATATTTTTATAGGTTATAACGTTCACAATTATCTTAAGAAATTTTATTTTTATAAAGGCGGGCTTAAAGAAGGGTCGATTATTGAGGGTCCCGTAGCCGAACCGGTGTTCTAGAAAGCTATTGTAATATATTAAAATTATTGAAATACATCATCCCGGGTGTATAGACTTTTTGAAAACATGCCGGTTATTACTTGGATCAACATTGTTTTTTATTATTAAAAGAACAATTTAAATTGTTACAATTTTATTAAAATATTTTTAATAAAATATAAAAAAAATAACTTACTCTGATATTTCTCTTACATACCTCTCGACAAAATATATTAGGCGAGATTTCAGAAAGTCACCACTATTCTAGGATCCACCCAATAATCTGTTTTAAAAACCAAATTTTATTTTCATTGAACTCTCATAATTAGAAATTATATTCAAAGAATAGTATTCGAAATTGCTTAGATAATTGTAAAATTATTAAAATAAAATTTTAAATTTTTATTAACGATAATGTCATGTATGTGAAAATATAGAAATATAGTGTTCATTTAAAAACAGTGATAAATTCATAAATAGAAATTTTAGTTAGTATTGAAGCAAATTTATAATACAATTCACAACATTCTAATTGTAAGGTTACAGAAAATTATAAGTTCTCATGGATTAAACTTGAAAATTTAGGAAAAAGTTATGAAAATTAATACATAAAAATGGCAATGCTGTTTTAAACTTACCTAATAAAAAAAAACTATCCAGGGGATTTTTCATTTATCACTCTCTGTGACATAGTCTTACTTATTTACATGGAATTTGAATGAAAAAAAGTAAAATTTATAATTAAAAATAATTTTTTTTTGTTGCATGTAATGAATTTATTATTTTTCTGTTGTTATCGTAACATATTGCTTTTTTTTTCCCCCTAACTTTAAATGTATTTTTAAAAGGCCTTCAACTCAATTATTCTCAAATTTTTTTCTCCCCTGTAGCGCTTGGCTTGATTTGATTCGTTTAAAGCGATACATTTTGACTTGGTTTGGGGGGGGGGCTGGTTACCTAATAATTCACCTCTAAAGTCTCTCACAAAATCTTCTGTATTAAAATGCTCGGAATCTTTATTCTGGATAATTAGAGACTTAATACTATTTCTTTCTTTTTTACATTTTTGCACTCAAACTTTTGTTAAAGATTCCTTTTTTTTTTTTTTGTGAAAAACAATGATAGCCGTATATACCATTTCTTTGTTATTGTTTTATGTATATATATTTTTATATGTTTTAACTGCATATACATTAATTGGCATAGTTATTTATCTTGAGTGAACATAAATGAAACTTATACCTTATTTTAAATTACTGCAAAGGTCAACAACTACCCTAAGATTTATAAAGCAACAAAAAAAAAGGAAAAAAAAACGAAAAAAAAAACGTGTTATTCCAAAAAATAAAAAATAAAAAAAATTTGTTATTCAAAAAAAAAAGTAGTAAGAATACTAGTCCGAGATTAAATATTTTACCGGTAAATCGGAAACATTTTAACATTTGGTGTCTGAATAAACCTTTTAACTTCTTTGGGGAGAAGAAGGACCATATATTTAGTTTACTCAAAAGAGAGAGTGGGGGTTTGATCGATTCGGTAAACACGTAGAAAAGGGATTTAAATTTCCCACCCTTTCATTCCCCTCCCCTCCCCCCCTGTTGACAGGAATATAAAGCACTCCCCCCCTCTATATGATTTCAAAGATCTCCTCCGCAGAAAATAAATTAGAAGATAAATTCTTTAAATTAATTTCTTAGCTTCAAATTAAATTTTAAATATACGACTTTTTATTTTAAATACTACTTTGTAAACTGTGCAATGCTTTAAAATTTTATATGCTTTACAGTTTAAAGCTTTTTCAACCATCAATAAATGAAGTAATGAAAAATAATAAATAAGATTAAAATAATATGTTTTGTATGAAATTATATCTAACTAAACTATTTTAATAGATGAGTAGAAATTTTTTTTTTCGATTTGTATACATGCTTTCAAAGATATAATGAAATGCTCTAAAAATGAAGTTGACCTTCAGGGAACAAAACTTCTGGACATTTTCCTGTCTTTACTTTTCGGACCAAACAGTCCGAATTGCTGACACCTCCCATATTTTGAAGATCAAAAATTTAAATCCATTGGAGAAAAAAAATGTCTATTGAAAAAGTTTTTTTTTTTTTTTTTTTTTTTTTTTTTTTTTTTTTTTTTTTNTTTCGTAACTTAAAATATCGTCTTCATAAATAAATCAGCAGAAAGAAATACTGTTTGGATGAATAAAAACAAACATATTTATGTTTAACTGTACTACTAACGGTGAAACGTATTTCTTCAATATTCAATAACTTTTGTTAGCCTGCATAATAGTTTCTAGCACTCTTCTCTCCTACCCTTAAGTTTAGCGAGCATTTAGGATATTTAATTTGTCTTGTCATTTCGCCTGCTTCTATTTTTTATATATATATTTTGTAAGAAGGCCGTTTCCATGGGAACACAATTTTAATCTTATAACATTGGATTTTATCAATGAAATTTTGTATTTTCAGTACTGTACTCAAACAACATAATGCTGGAAAGAGGTAATTGTTTGCAAACCATAACTTGAAAATTTGAAAACTGCTTTAAAAAAAATTATGAAAATCGGTGCTCCCGTTTCCGAGTTAATAACGATCATTCACCATGACAGAGAGAGATTATAAATATGTAGAGCAGTTTGTTTGTTTATTTTTAATTGTTCACCGAACAATTTGTTTTAACGTTTGATACCTATCCAAAATAGTTCAGTTTGTTTAAGGTTTTCTTTGCGAGGAAAGAAATTTCATCGGTTTAGTGACAATCGAAGAAATTCTTTCGATTGTCACCGAAGAAACTCGATCGAAGGTCGTCATCGGAGAAATTCTTTCGGTTGTCACCAAACCCAAGTCTTGATGGTCCCATCAAAACATTTCGATGGTTTATGTTGGTTTCAGTGTGATTTATGATGGTCCAACATCCTCCAACATTTTCCATGATGCGTTCATGGATTTCGATATGCCAACAAGCTTCCATCACTCTATGTTGAAAAATGCAACTTTAATACAATGATGGTTAACCATCAAGATAAGTTTGATTCTCATGGATCAAATGCATGATGATCCGTGATGGTTCCAACTATGCATTTCTATGATGGTTTAATGGGAATTCTTATTGGTTCTGAGGAATAGTATACCATCAAAAACAATTTTTTTTTAAATGTTGGACCATCATAAATCAATCCGAATTCCAACATCGGGATGATGGTTGTTCATGATCGTTCCAACATTTGATTTCTAAGAAACTATGATGGTTTAACATAAACAAACCATCAAAGCAAGTCGCTATTCTTACGTTGGACCATCATAAATCAGTCCTGTTTTCTACATTGGGGTGATGATTTCTTATGTTGGTCACCATTAAAAATATAATAGTTCATGATGGAATTATTGATGGTTACCATCAATAGGTTGGTCCGTCCTTGGAGAACCATCAAAAATTTTGAATTGGTTATGCTCATGTGTGTTTTATATAATATAGATTCTATTGAAGTGTATGCATATTAGATATTGAATTAAGAATATTTTTTTTCTTTCTCCAGTTTGCCGTGCTTGCATTGTTCGTTATCTGGAAACAAGCAAGTATTGTCCTGTTTGTGAAGTGCAAGTTCATAAATCTCGGCCTCTACATTATATCAGGTAGAGAAATCGATTTCTTTCTTTTTAATCATCATATATTAATGAGTTGTTTTTTTTCGTATTGTCATATTTTCTTAAAATCAATATTACTGCCCAAAAAACTTTGCTTATAAATAAGGTGAATTATACTTGCAACCCCTGTGGCAGAATCGCAGCGACCGCGACATGCGTGATTTCGTCGTCGATCTTTTTTTCAGCATTGACTACTACTGATTTCATGATTTTTAATTATTATTTTATTGTGATAATTATTTGCAAAATGAGGCGAAGGAAATAATTTGGAAATAATTTAAGGTTCTCCCACCCCTCAACGAAGTGCAAGATTATCACCCATACTATCGGAATGAAAAATTATTAATATATATAGGCCACAGGGCCACAAAATTCTGCCACAGGGCTTGCAACTGAAGGGTAAAATAAATGGTCGCCAAAGGGCGACGAAATATTACAAATGGCACCCCTGATCGTCTATCTGAAAATTAATTTATTTCGCGCTTGTCTTAAGTTGTTAGATCTAAACACCCGGCACTTAAAGTCTTTAAAATATTTTGATGTGTTTTCTTTCCCAGTTGGAAAAAGATTATATTCATAATGTTAAATATATATTTTGGTTTTATGATGATTTTTTTTTTCTTTTGTAACTTTAAAATATTTTATTTTCAACGATTTATTAACCTTTTTTTTTAAGTCAGTTTGTATTTCACGTAATTTGAACTTTTTTGATATTTTGAAAGGGTGTAATTGTAAATGACTTTATTTCATAAGGGTTTAAAATTTCAGGAGTGTTGAATAGGGTTATGAAAGGTTTAAAACGATACAAATCACTTTCTTTCTTTTCCTTTTTTTGTATGGAATACAATATATAAAAGTAATCTAATGAATATAATTTTTTGTCATGATTATACCAGATTTGTTTTGTAGTGAATAAATTTTGTTTATTAATAAACATAAATATTTTTCGTTCCATTATTGGCTGAATGACTTAAACCCTAAACTTTATGAGTTGAAAATTTTACATAAATTTGGAGACGACAGGATAGAGGTTATTGTAAAAAATTTTTATTAATTTCCAAGGTTTATGATATATCCTTTCTAACTATGTGAAAGTTAAAAAGTAACAGTTGGAAAGAAAAATAAATTTCTAACTTTTTATTTATTTATTTAAAAGAAGAAAAAAAAACTTTATAGTAACTTTTTCAATTTTAAGTTTAATTGTCAATCTGAATGACTTCAAATAATCATGAATTTCATTCCTGTAAAAATATCTAAAAATAAATTAATATAAGTCAATTCAATGTTAAATCATAGTTTCTTTAAAAGATGCTTAATATAAAATGAATCGTTCACAATTATTACCTGTTCTGTTAGTTTTAAAAATTAGTTGAATAATGTAATCATTAAATGAGTTAAGATAAAAAGTACTTTCTTTTTTATCTCATTATACGATACATTATACTTGCTATGATAAAGCGGATTTTATGAATACTATTTCATTAACTAATTATACTAAATATTTAACATACTAAATATGTATACTGCTGCTACAAATGACATATTGAATTCACAATCACAAATAAGTTTACTCAAACCAGCTCTTAAATAATATGATTTAAGCTATTCATATGAGATTCAATGATAAACTATTGCATTTGTCATTACAAACCCTGCTTTCATTAAAAGACCCCATTAGCTTTGAACTCGAAAAAATGCAATGTTAAAATAGGCACTCGTTGATTTATGGCAGGCACTTACAAAAAAATGAATCGGCAAATCCTGATTCAATCGGCCCCATCACGAATCTAAAGGCTACCCACAAATTATCTCGAGTAGTCTACCCCCTCCCATCTATTTCTCCTTCCACGTCTGTATCATTAATGGCGCGCAGATTGTTATTTTCGGAAGTCGATTTTTTCGTTCTGTTATTGCATAGATTAGGGAAAACGGTCATTTTGTCTTTCCTGTTTTGTTGTCGATCGTTTGGTGTTAAGATAGACACGCATTAAAACCGCCTCTCTTCTCTGAGGGGGAGGAAAAAACTATCATTGGTAACATTATGAAAACGTTCTCACTCATTTTTCTTTTCATTTTTTGCAAAATGGAAATGAATTTTCTTTGCATGTTGCCATAGAAGCATTATTTATATGGGTTGATGTTGAATGAAATACAGTCAGATCTCCATTAAAGATGTCGCTCAATCCCGATATAAAGTTCTTTATATAGAAAATTCGTTGAATAAAAAATCACCATTTGAAACACTTAAACAACACAAAACAGGTTTTAAATTCATAAACACTAGACATAATTAAATTAGCAATGAATACTCAAGCGATGTTTACGAAAGGTACTCGGACGAGCACTTCTTGACGAGGAAGGTCTGTCCACGGCCCTCATTGGAATAGAAGCCGCTCTGAACAGCCGACCATTGATATACGAAGATGACAGTTCCACAGTCTTAACACCAAGCCATTTCTTGACAGGACGGAAACTAACGGCCATTCCATCCAGCCCAAATAACAACACAAAGCTAAGAAAATTCTACAAGCAGCAGCAGGACTTACTCGACTGCTTTTGGAAAAAATGGTCTAAGGAATATTTGCTTCAATTGCGGTCATTTCATCAAGTTCGTAGTCAGGACAATATCATTAACATCCGAATTGGCGATATTGTACTTCTACAAGAAGATGTCCGACCACGTCACATGTGGAAGAAAGCTAGAGTGGTGAACTTGCATGAAGGACGAGACGGAAAAATAAGATCCTGTGAGCTGAGAGTTAATGGTCACAATATAACCCGTCCGGTAGCTCTGGTCATCCCCCTCGAGGTCGACCAGGGTGGGGAGGATGTTGAGGTTTGAGTTCGAGATTAGTTAGATAGTTTGAGTTTCCTGTGCTGGCAACATCTTATTGTTTTTATATTCTTTTTGGATGTAAATAAAAGTTAAGTTTTCAGTTTGTTCTACGTTACTTTCAGTCTGATTTGCTCTCAACAAAATCCAACATACACCTTCATTTTGTAAATTAGTATCGACTAGCGAATTGTTTCAAATGATTTTATTATATGAAGGTTTGATGATTTCTTCACCATTTCCATCTTCTTCGTCTTCCTCACAATGTATTGTTTTTATTTTTCACACTGTCCAAAGTATCAGATTCAGTTAATATTTCTGTGGTCAGAATCATCTTCAGAATCAATAAAAAGAAAATCAGTACATCATCGTTCATTTCGTGGATCTTTCTCAGCATTCTAAAGGAATGCCATCCTCCACTTTCCAAATTCTCTCTTCGCTGACTAAGAATCCAGCTTTACCAAAACTGCTATAAGATTTTTTTTCTTTACCATGTCGATTTTCTCCATGTATTATGCATAAGCATGGTTTACACGTTGTTCTGTTCAACGTTTTTACAATTCATAATGCATTTCGGCGTGCCGTCGGTCAATAGCGTATGAAAGTGCCGATCATTTTACATGTTTGACATACTTGCGGGTTCGTATGTGCATATATACTGAACTGGGTTCATGTGCAACTCTGTCGTATTTTGCAAGAGATCTCAAATTTCAGGTTTCATATACCACCCTCTGAAACCTAACCGAAAAATCTCTCGTTCTTTTTAGGGTGGCTAATGCATATAATCAAGGAAAAGTGTTCTTTATCAGAAACTAATTATTTTATCATGATTATGTAAATTCTTTGAAAATTATTTTGCATTTTGTTAATGTAGTTAGTGCTTAAAAAGTACATTAAAGGTGCATATTTTTTGTAGAAAGATTTGGCTACACAATCTGATATGCAAATAATTCTTTCTCAACTAGTTGTTTTTAATTTATTAAGAAAAATGAACTTCCTGATAGTGGATCGATACATTATTTATAACAATAAATATTATATAATCGTATTTACAATTAGAATTATATAAAGTATTTAATGGTTCCATTCAGTCAAATTCAAATATCTCTTTAATTTTATTGCATTCGGCTCGACTTGAATCCAAAGTTAAATGTAAACAGTAATTAGTGAGTGGCATTTTTCCATCGACTTTTTCGTTTGGTACTTTATTTCCACGATTCGTTTCGGTTGTTCTTACAGTTATTAAATTATTTGTCCAAAGTGTAGAAGAGTGATGAATAAACGAAAAGAAATCACAGCGATAACGAAGGAAAAAAAAGCGTATTATTCGCTAGAGAAAGAGAGTCATTTCATACGATAGCAGATCTTTCGAAGAATATTTAATTCCTCATCGTGTGTCTTCTGCATCCATCAGCAGGCGGTTGTAGTTCATGTCACCGGGCAATCTGTTGTCCGCTCAATTAAGCCATCTCTCCAACAACCCAATTTACCTTCTCTCCCTTCCCGCCTACATCCGTGATGTCGGAAGTATTGAATACTTCGTGCAATCAATATCTCCTCTTTTTGCACCCTTTCTCCAGACGATACTGACTTTATCAAGAATGAATGTTCATGAAGCAGGAAGATTTTATGAAAATTTTAAATGGTTATTCATAAATGATGTCACGGTTAAGGGAAAAGAAGGTGACTAAGGATTGAGATGGAATGCCAAGAAATGTAACATCACACGTTGAAATTGAAACATTTAAAATCAGCAGAATTAAATATTTTCTCAGGGTTTCCTATAGCTGCACCTATAACCATAATTGTTATGAGGCGACACGTGTCATTTAAAAGTCATAGTTAGAGTATAAAAATAAAAGAGTGTGAACTAATAGTAGGAATTGAAAGAGCATGAAAATGACCGACGTTTTGTGACTAAAGCTGTAATTAATGGTTTACGTTTAACCACCAGACTAACTATTTGAAACGTAAGACTGGTTGAATACCTGATGATTTACCAACTTAAAATTTTACAAAAACTGGTTTAATGGTAGTAAAAATAAAAACATTCTACTGAAAATTTATTATAAACCATATGATTCTTCGAACTTTTGAAAGAATTGGAGCAATCAAATACATTGTCACTAAACCACAATAGCGTTTTGTGGGAAACCCTATTTTCAACAAATGTGATCTCAGAATCTATTGAACCGCTTTACATTTTATTAGATTATTGGTTACAGAATTTTCCACGCTTATAAATTTATTCTATATATATGTTTTATTTTTTTTCTAAGATTGAAAAGTTTTATTTTGTGTGTAGTGCTTTGCTTGATTTACGAAACACCGTATAACTTATTTAAAATTTTAAATTTCGGAAAAGCATTATAGCACTATTGCTGGTCTATTTCGAATTTTAGTATCGCAATATACTGTCATAAAATATCGATGCTTTATGATTGATAGCGAAATTTTCTCATTTTCTTTAAATGTATAGTGTTCATACATTGGAGTATAGTATCGATACCCATATGAAAAAAAATTGTTTTATAGAACTAAACCTTAAACAATTTTAATTGAAAAACACACTATATATATATATATATTGTCGATAATGACCGTGACGTTATCGTTTTAGTCGATATTTTATGGCATATCGCTCAATTCTATGTATTGTATCATTTACCCCCTATAAGTTGTCCAGAAATGAAGGAAAAAAAAAAAGAGATTCAGATTTTTTTATTTTATTTTATAACCGTCGTAGAACAACCGACGCAATTTAGGGTTTACGGCCTAGCCTTGAAATTTTGAACTCAATCCAGAAGACAATGGAACTCCTGGATCAAGTTTTGGGAGAAATTTTGCCTTCGTGGAGGACTTTTTAATGGAATTAACGTGCATTTGCGTTGCATGGAGAGGAAGACCACGAGAACCTCCCACGGTTTGCGTAACGGCAAGGGGACTCTAACCAATGGCCGCTGAGGATATTTTACGTCAGTACTGTGGTTGGTGCAAACCAGACTACTTCAGGACAATCAGCAAAGACAACCTGTCGAACCTCCACCAGACTTACCTCCTAAACTTCCTGAAAAACAATCACGTCCGGGTAACCAATGAGGGGAATTATAAATCGACTACCTTCATCTATCAAAAGGTACCTCATGGCATGTCTTATATACTAGGGAATTGGTATTTAACATTTATAGTGGTAGTTACGCCACATTCTAATTCTTTATAATGCTAATATTAGGACGTGGGAAGTAGAGGCACAAGCGTAAGCAAACAGAATTCCTTTTAGTATATATATGTTAAGTGAATAATTTTAACTTTCGTGGAAAAACTGTTTTCTGCCAAGAAAAGATAATAATTATTGCGAAGCAATCATCGGGGTTGGAGAGCGGCAGCGAACAGGGGGCTTAGCCCCCTAGTATATATATATATATATANATATATATTATCCCGTAATGATCACTCTAAATATATGTTTAAAAGAAATCTTTCTATAAAAGTGTTTTTTATATAAAAGTAATCAGATGCATCATTCTTTTCTCTGTAGGTCGGATAAAACTTTGCAAGATATAGTTTATAAACTTGTTCCGGGATTGTTTCACAGTAAGCATTCACTGATTTTTTTTCACGTACGCTCTTCTCCTAAATTAATTAAATTTACAAACTATATTTTTTCTTATCATTTTTCAGATGAAATGAAAAGAAGAAGAGAGCTGTATGCATCCCAACCTCCTGAAGGTATATAAAAACTAAACATTTTAAATTGTTCAGGCTTCTTTCTCAAAAAGAAGAAAAAAATCTTGGGGGGGGGGGAGTATTTTTCAACTTTTATCGTTTTATGGAGGGCATATTTCTTTTTCTTTTTTTTTCGCTAACTTTTCACTACGCATTTTGTATTTTGGAAAAATGCATGGTATTAAATTAATTGTTAATTTTTCTTAAAATGCTTTCCACTTATTTTGCATTTGTCATCATTTTTTTTTAATTATTATTTTATAACCGTGGTTGAAGAGGCGACCTAATTTTTTGGGTTTATGACAAGGGAGGACAAGGGAACTCCTGCATCAAGTATTGGGAATAATTTGCCTTCGTGGAGGACTTTATGATGGAGCTAACCCGCATTTGCGTTACATGGAGAGGAAGGCCACGAAAACCGCCCACGGTTAGTCGGACAGCTAGGGGAACTCTAACCCATAATCAGTCTGTAACTGAGGATATTTCACGTCACCACTGTGGTCGGTGCGAGTTGGATGCGGAATTCGTATCGACCCGTCATCTCTGGGATTCGAACCCGGTTCAAGTGATTGGAAGGCGAACGCTGTATCCCTTGAGCCATCATAGCTCATTGTCATCATTATACATTGCACATGTACAAAATGTACATACATTATACATTTCATAGATAAGAAATTTTTTAATTAATTCTTGCTTCTATCTCAATTTTGATTATTATAATGTTTCATCAGCCTTGTTTCGCGTTCTATGGATTCGTTTATGGCTATACTTCTACTGTGCATTCTATTTATTGAAGGAACCTTTATAATAATTGAAAGATGGGCTTCGAACACTCTTTTCTAAATTAAAAGAGATTTTAGTAATGAACCTTTGAAATATCCAAGACATTTACTGCAGCATTCAACAAATACACGCAATCAAAGGCGATTCTTTTATTTATCTGAATTTGTATAAGTGAAAAATCACTACGAATAGATATCACTAGGAATTTATTATAACAGTTTCATTTCTCTCCTGCTTAACAGTGATTTTATTAGAAATCATAATTAGAAAGTCCATATATGTTTCTAAACAATATACCCTAGCAGCAAAATAACTTGGGGCCAATATTCGTGAATCTTGGTTTTGTAAGGGTTCAAAGGGTCCTTTATTTTTCCGATATGGCCTCTATATAGAATTTTCCAATTCACCCGATATTTTACAGCCACTTTTCAACCCATATCGGTCCTACATAGAATTATCAGATTCTCCCGATATTTTATATCCATTGTCTAGCCAATGTAGGTTCCATATTGGCCAATGTATAGGACATTCTAGGAACCCTATTCAAGAATCTAGATATGGGTCCCTCAGTGCATGTCCTACCATCTCGAGCCAATTTTGAACCCAACTGGGGCCAAGGTAAACTTGTAGCTGTTAAAAATGACCTTATGATCTGGATTTTAACATGGATGTAACTTAAATAAAATTATAATTTTTTACAATAATATGAAATTTCGTTTTGAAAAAAGAAACTTGCCCGCCTAGAAATCAGAGCAAAATAATTCGTAACACACTGCTTCTCAAATTCATTATAACAGTTCGATTTGAAACAGTTAAATTTTCTCCATCGACATAGCCCAAAAAACTTGACACACTACCCGATATGGAGTGCCCGTAACACACTAATTGTTGCTAGGCAACTGTTACACCCTCCCCTCTCCAACCTGCTTTCATGTTCCTTCCGCTTTTTCTCCCTGACTTTCGTTTTTATTTACTTCGTGTCACCCTCTCCCTCCACCGGAAAGCACTATTTCTAATTCCCCCCTCCCCATCCCTGATTTAATACCTACACTGCGGAGGAAGTTCTATTGTGTTCTTCATCTACTTGATAAAGACACCCCTTGAGGGATTTCGGGTCTCGCAAGGTGTTCTACCAAAGATAACCTGCCTAGAGAAAGTATTCAGTGTTGAAAAATGTAGATGTGCACTCGTTTTTTAAAAGTGGAGGGATGCTTTTTTATCTTTAATTTTTTCTCCCTCTCTGATCATATTTATGAATATGACGTTTCTATTTATATTTATGAATATGACGCGAAAACGGAATAACCGCTCTCAAACCTTGACTTTGTGCTAGCCCCCCCCTCACTCACAACTGATATGTTAAGTTTCTGCTTACAATTTTGTCTTTTGTAGTGTTTAAATGGGAAACTTTTTATTACTTCTTGTATTCATTTTTTTTTTAATCAATATTTTTTTTTTCGCCATAGAAATATTTATCGCATTTAAAACATCTATGTACTTATTTTACAGAATATAATTGCCCTGAGAAATAATTAAGTTATTGTCACTCATCACAGTAAATAAATACACAAAGGATTTTAAAAAAATTGAAGAAAATTAAGCAAATGAATAAGTTTTAATTACTGCGCGTAAGCTGCAAGTATATAAAACTCATAAAATAAGTTCAAAATGTAGAGAAAACATGGAATAAAATGTCAGAATAATGAAGAGAGAAGAAGAAAATTATTAAAATAAAATAAAATAATAAATAAAATAAAAAAATTTTAAAAAAAATTATTAAAAATCTGGAAAAAGGAAATCTGATGAAGAGATAATTTTTTTTTCCAGATTTTTATTAAAAAATGTTTTTAATTTTTTACTATTTTTTATTTTATTTATTGTGTTGTTTTATTTTAATTATTTTCTTCTTCTCTTTTCATTATTCTGTAAATTTTTTTCTGTGTTTTCTCCCTCTCTCTCTCTCTTTCTCTCTCTCCCTCTCTCTCTCTCTCTCTCTCTCTCTCTCTCTCTCTCTCTCTCTCTCTCTCTCTCTCTCTCTCTCTCTCTCTCTCTCTCTCTCTCTCTCTCTCTCTCTCTCTCTCTCTCTCTCTCTCTCTCTCTCTCTCTCTCTCTCTCTCTCTCTCTCTCTCTCTCTCTCTCTCTCTCTCTCTCTCTCTCTCTCTCTCTCTCTCTCTCTCTCTCTCTCTCTCTCNATGTCCCGCTGCTGTTACTGTAATATACGCACACACTATGGGCAGCAATCCATTTAATTCGATCCGCAAAACAAAAAAAACAAATGTATTAGTTGTGAAGAATAACAGTTCAAAATAAAAGCTACAAAAGAGAAACTTGCTGTTTCAGCCATAAAAGAGTCGAGAGATGCTGAGGACAGAGGTGAATGCCTGGATGAAAAATTTATCTACGCTCCAGAGGAGATTTTCAGTCTTTCTATAGAATATGGGTGAGTTGTATAATACATTAATTTTTCTTCTCAAATTATCTTTCATTCATTGATAGAAATATACTGTTGTTGGGCAACATCTTTCAAAACATACGAAGGTTAGAACACTATTTAGAAAACATGATTTCAAGAACAAAATTGGAGCAGGAAAAATAACATCATATCTCTTGTGTTCTTGATCAATATTTTTTCCAGGGTGCGTAGCTATTTTAAAAAGTGCTTATAGGTGTTTTTTTTAAATTTACGTTCTTTAAAATCTCTTAAAGATGTTTTTTCTATTCGGGATTTGCAAAAAGTGCATAATCTTCTATCTTATAAAAAGAGATTTTCTCTTTGCCATGTCGATTCATCAGAACAAGTAATATAAAAAGTCAATTCTTACTTAGGTCAAAAAATTACTTTAGTTATTTTTTATTAAATAATTAGAATTAATATAAGTATGTTATTACATATGACAGAATTACACTATTAAGTGACAAAATAGAATTTCCTTTCCTTTCTATATAGGACTCTTATTTTTGTTTGTTACTATTTATTGTCACCCATTTTACGAAAACATTAAATATATGCGGAATCAGAAGACGCGTTCATTTAGATGAATAGATCCCTTTTTAAATGTGTCTCTGATTCCCATTACAGATAAATATCTTATATAGGAAGAAAAATGAAATTATTCTCCCATATAAAACTAAAGGTTATTCATTAAATTTTACGAATGAAATCATTTTTTTAGAAAAAAAACTGTATTAACATCGAGTGTACAAAGTTTAAAATAATGTATTTGAATTTGAGCGGATGAATAAAAAATAATTTTATTAAGAATTGAAAATTTGGACAAGATATATAAATTGGGAGAATATTAGTAGGAAATGACAATCTACTACTGTACGATACACAAGTAGTCAGCCATTCATTTATTTTCGTGTTATAAAAAAGTTGAAAAAATAAAAGCAGCTAAAAAAATAGAATAAGTCGTTGGTCGATTCCACTGCATAAAAAATGTCTACTAACTAGTCAACGTTCATTTTCTTCTTCTTTTTTTTAAATGTTTCTACTATTCCTCTCTGCCAGTTTATCAACATATTCTTTCCAATCTACACTCAAAATAAGAGAAATCTTCTTTTTAAAAGGATCCACTGAAAACTTGCAACGAATAGCTTTTACTATTAATTTATTTGTATGAAATCGCCTTTCACAGCTTTTCATGGTTCAGGTAAACCAGAATTCAAGCATTTTATTGTGTTTAGAATTGACATAGCAACTGCAATCAAATCTCTATTGAGCGAAGTCGCTCAATCCCGGCAGAAATTTCCTTATATAGAAAATTCGTTGAATAAAAAATCACCATTTGAAACACTTAAAGAACACAAAACAGGTTTTAAATTCATAAACACTAGACATAATTAAAATAGCAATGGATACACCTTCATCTTGTAAATTATTATCGACTATCGAATTGTTTCAAATGATTTTAACATTTCATCCTATGAAGACGATGATTTCTTTGAAAAGATGAAGAAATCAGATGATGATAGGATCATCATTTCCATCTTTTTTGTCTTCCTCCCAATTTATTGCTGTATTGTTTTTATTTTTCACACTGTCCAAACTATCTGATTCAGTTAATGTTTCTGTGGTTGCATCTTCAGAATCAATAAAAAGAAGATTATTCATCGCTCATTTCTTGGTTCTATTTTAGCAGCACCCATATTTTTTTAAAATTCTTCTAAAGGAATGTCATCCGCGCTGACTGAGAATCCAGCTTTAGCAAAAACTGTTACGAATCTGTAACATCCATGATTTAGAAATTTCTGTTGTGCTTTACTGTAAATTGATTTATGGCATGGATGTAATACAGACAATAAGGGATTTTCTCTAAAGGTTAAGTGGCTGCGAAAATCAATTGAAGGTCATTTCCTCTATAAAATGCGTTAACAAGTTTGAAATGTTCCAAAATATTTGGGGAAATAGGGATTTCGAAGAAAAGTTCGTTAAGTAGAAAATTCACTTTACGAAGAAATTTCCGAAATGTCCTCGAAAAAAATCGCAAGATAGAGAAATTCGCAAAATGGAAGTTCGTTAAATGAGTGTAAAATAAAATGAGAATTTGAGGAAATGCAAAATAAAACTTTCATTTTTCAATAATTAACTACTTCTTTAATATACATTTACTGAAAATGTTATTTTTAAAATTGTAAGATTCAAACCGAAAAGTTCTTATCTACATTTTCATTTTTTATTTATTCTTGAAGTTTCGTCATTCCTGTTCAACCCTTTGAAACAAAATTAAAAATAAAAGAAAGTTTGGGGAACGAGTAAACAATGAAAAAAAAGTTATGGAATTTAAGATTTAAAAAAAAAAATTATTACCACCGAATCAATGGATTATAAAAAAAATACATTTAAAAAATGCTTATTATGTTTTTTTATTCATTTCTTTCCTGATTCTATTCTCTTTCCCTTTTTTTGGCCTCCCGCCAAGTTAGGTTGTCATAGAAACGTGAGATTGTATTTGGTGTACGATGCGTGTCCGCTACGGTATGGAGCTAAAGAAATTTCGTTTTGCTTATTATTGTTGGATTAAAAGCTAAAACATTATTCGTAATGCTAAAAAGAAGGGGAGAGGGGAGTGGTTTTTCTTTTGAAATCATGCGCTGACTTTGTTACGTCTCTTTCTTTAATTTGCTTTTACAATGAAATGTTGTCTAATTTAATGGATCGTGTAAAATTGTACGCAAACCTTTCACTATAAGCCATTAGAGATAGTTTCAAGGGCGTATTTCTTGACGAGAAAAAAAGGGATAAAACGAAAAATTAAATTTTTGTTAGTGTTAAGTGTGTTTTTGCTTGAGATAAAAATAAAAAAAAAATGCGCTTTAATCGAATAAATTTTTTTCATTATAAATATTAATTATTTTCATTTTAGGAAATTTTCAACATTTTATTTCATTTATTGTGTTGATCTTTTTGACTATTTCAATAAATGTGTGTGTGTGTTTTTTTTTTTTAAATTAGTTTTATAATTCTCTTTGTTTAAAGGTGTGAAGTTGAGAGTCAAAATGATTCTACTGAAAAGGATAATAGTGTAAGTGTTAATTTAACAATTTAGATATTTTCCTAAACATAAACTGGACATATCTTTAGCTAATAATAAAGCTTTCTTCTCCATCTTATTGTTTTCCTTTTTTGTTATCATTTAACTTAAAATAAATAGCTATGTAATATATTTTTCTCTCCTTTCTTGTTTACTGAACCTGTAATATGTGTCTAATGAATCTTTCTTCTCATATATTAGGTGCCAAAAAGGCGTTTCCTAAGATGTCCCGCTGCTGTTACTGTAGCTCATTTGAAAAAATTTATAAGAATGAAATACGGAATTCCCTATTCTTATGATGTAAGTATTTATAAAAATAGCACGTTTGATAGTCGGCAAGATGCCTTTGAAAATGCTCTTATTTTTAATCTTGGTTCATAAATTTTTATCATTTCATGCTTTTAGTCGTTAATTTTTTGGAGGAAGAAAAAAATAATAGTTGTTTAACAGAAGTGTTCATAAACATTTAGTTGATTTACATTTTAGTTTATACAACTCTCTTTCTTCCATGCATAACACTATTTCCCTTGAATGGAAATGATTGACAATGCATTTATTTTATGTTAAGCCTTCTCCTTCCTCCCCCTCCCCGAAAAAATTGATTTCAATTTTTCTAGGACCCCCCAGTGGTCTATAGGGAACCACGTTGAGAATCTATGATGAAGGTGGAAATTTTTTTTTTCCTTCAATTTTTAGTTGTTTATCGATCAATTTTATCTCTTTATTTGTTTTTTTATTTATTTATTTATTCAAATAAAAGTAAGAAAATGATAATACATTTACTGTTTTTTCTCTCTTTCGAATGGGTGGCGTTATCGCCTGCGCTGGTGCAATGGATAGTAGCCGATGTTTAATGCCTTGCTTCGAGTTCAAATCGGGTTATTATTATTATTATCAGTTTAGAATATTTTAAGTCATTTAACTGAATAATTATTTACTCATTGTATAAATAAAAGGTTCCCATTCCAGAAAAATTTTAATTATTTTCTTGGAAAAGGTGTTTCTTTGAATATATATATGGATGCTTTGGATTGAGGTGGAGTTCAAATAATGATGTCATTAACGAATTCTCACAACCTCGTTTCGTTTTTCTTTTTCTTCCTATAAAAGCGCTTTTTTCTTTCTTTTTTATTAATTTTTTTCTTTTTGTTATTTTTACGACTTTTATATCTTGAACTCTGAGGAATTCCAAAAAGAATTCCAAAATTATAAAAATGCAGAAATGTATACAGTTGGACCTCGATTTAACGAATTGACTGGGACCGACAATTCCGTTCATTAAATCGAAGCAGTTCGTTAAATCGAATATCAATTTTTATGAAGAGTATGGTATAAAAATATCAATGCAAAATATCCTTAGACATACAGATATGAAGAAAAAAAATGATTTTTGTTTACAACGAGCTTAAAATTTATTAGTTATACGTTAGGAATATCAATTAATTCTTAATGCTATTGCTTTTAAAATATAATACATACATATAATAACACTTGGATTAGGGGGTGAAAGATTCAAAATTTTAAGTGCAAGAAATTCAAAGTTTTAGTTTAATGTGCGAATTTTTTTCAAACTATTGTTGTTTGTTAAATCAAAACTGAAAATTCTTTAAATGAGAGTATTTTAGCACCCTTTTTGTCGGGACGGAAAAAATAGGCGTTAAATCGGAGAATTCGTTAAATCAAAGTACGTTAAATCGAGGTTTGACTGCATGCCAGATCCCAATAGTTCGAGCGAAAAACAGTCATAAGTTTAATGTCAATTTCACGTTTTGCGTATTTCGCTATACATCTCGAGAATTTCTTAAACGAATCAAAAAAAACCTTTGCACACAATAATAAAATTCATTTATTCAAAGATAATTTCGTGTAAGAAGTATTTTTTTTTATTATTTATAATTTTTTTTATTAAATTATTTAAAAGTCGTAAAATTTTTGAATTGTAAGGGATTCAGATTTTTACGCCATTTTAAAGTATGTTAAGAAGTGACAAAATACAAAAATTGAATAAAATCGGTTGAATAGTTTTCGAAAAGTTAAATTTCTTAATATTCAACTTTTTGAAACTAAATAACTGAACTATTTGACTTATTTTACTCGCATTTTGTATTTTTATTTAAAATATTATAAAATTCGAATTATGAACATCATAGTTATCATTTTCTTGCACTCATTTTAAAAATGTGTCTCATATTAGTAATTTTTCCACTAATAAATATAAATTAAATGTAGTTCATGAAAATATACTTATGACATTACTATGGAGCAATATTTATTTATTTTTTTCGATACCTGTCGTCCCCTACATCAAACGGAAGTATCGTTACAGCAGTGTGAAGATATATTACAAATGAACAACGTGTGCTATAATTAACGAAAAACAGGACTACTTTCTAGAGAGAACCGGGGAGGCATTTATCGATTTTCTGCCACCTTCTTTGCCTCATAGGGAAGAAGACCATTAGGGTGGTCTCCAATCTAATTTGTCTCTTTTTTATAGTAGCCATTTTTCTCCTCTTATTCAATTGAGGTGGAGGAGCCACAAAATGGAAGAATCGAGTTTGCCCCCTGGGTCAGTTCAATAAACATGTTCCGGTAAGGGGACTGATTTAGGCATGGTCTTCATGAACTACATTTCAAGACCTTGTGCTATCAAGGAGAGCGATTGTATATATATATATAAATTATCCAGTATAATATTACCTTGCGCACATCCATTTTCGGGCCCATCCTTGGTAACTAACAAATCAAACGCACTTCAGTAATGCAGTAAGAACGCACTTTAAAACAAAACTCCTCTAGTTACACTCAATTTGCGCTTTTGTTTTCATATTTTGCAATCTGGCAATNGACTTCAGTTTAAATCATACATATCAATAAAGTCTGAGGCTTATAAAAGTTTGAGGGGCCGGCAATAAATAACGAACGAAAGAGAGTGTTTCCCACGCATGCGCAGTAGGAAAGGATTGCTTTAAATGCTCATATCTTGCGCAATTTTTCACAAATTTTTTTCTTCAAATTCTTAAAAGATATTTTTGTTATTAATTAAAAATTACTCTAAAAATTTTGTTTGATTTTATAGAATATTTTAGCAGTTATAGTAAGAAAACCTAAGGTAATTTATTTATTTTTTTATTTATTTTTTTTTAAGCATTTTTATGAATATTTAGCTAGGTTTACGAAATTTTGTGCAGTTATTGCACATAATAACCAACATAATTGTCATAAGTTATGGCTATAATTGTTTGGCATAGGGTGTTCAAAAGCATTCTTTTTCGTTCGTCACTCTAAAAGTTTTAAACTTTATTGGAAACTTTATTATTACACGGATATATATATATATACAGTCGGGCTTCTATTTAACGAAGTCGCTAAATCCGTATAATAGGTTCGTTAAATAGAAAATCACCTTCTGAAATACTTAAACAGCACAAAACAGGTTTTAAATTCATAAGCATAATAATTAAATAGCAATTAATAACATAATTAAAATAGCAATTGATACACCTTTATCATGTAAAATAGTATCTACTATTTATTTTATAAATCATACCGTAAAAGAATGGAAAGCAAGAATAGAGCAAAAAATTATTCAGTGTTACACTATCATGTTACATACATTTTCATTTAAAAAACAAGCTAAATTTATGTAAAATTATAGCTGCATTTATTATAAAAGTAATTTTAAACATACATTACCACATGCGTTCAAAAGATTAATTGCTACTGATAAAATCCGTTAATTTTGTCTGAGTTTTTATTTTCAAATGCAAACAAGAAGAGAAAGGTACTTTACTACTTTCTCTGAAAGTTAAGTGGCTTCGAAAATAATCAATTCAAACTCATATATATATAATAAAAAATAATAAAAAGATGCACTTTCATTATAATTCTGAAAATCAAAGAACAAAAACTTTTTTTTAAAATTTTAATTTATGTGTAACATTCAAAGATAAGGATTTTAAAATAATAAATGTATATTTTAAAAGAAACCTGATACTGCACATTAAAAAATTACTGTGAGTTTAGTTAGTAATGAAAATAGCATCTCAAATTCTCTTAATTTCATTTTATGATATGTAAATTAAGGAAAGAAAGAATACTTCAGTCCTTGTTTATTCAAATGGAATTTTTTTTTTAAAGACACTTTTTGACATTTTAAAGAGGAATCTTTTGGTCATAAAAATCCAGGCTCCAGATATAACTTTTCATCCCTTTAGTTAGTTTTATTCGATTCATCAATCACATTTCTCGATTTTCGATGCCATTATCTTGATTTTCAGAGTTAAAAAAGATTAAAATAATGATTTTGATTCAATGATTTTGTAGTAAAAAAGTTCGGTTCTTTGGATAATGGAGGTTTCACGGTACATAAGAATTCTTATTGTAAATACTAAGTAAATTAAGAAAGGGCAATAAAAAAGTTGTGCAGTGAATCTGATACTGGCAAAATGTTTATGAGGAAATAATTTTTATTTTATTTTATGAATACCTTCTTTAAGGCGAATTTTTTAGGATTTTCGACGAAGTTTAATGTTTAGGTTTCAGGTCATTAAAGTATAAATTTTTTTATATATATTTTGGGATATTTTGAAGTTTTTACTGAAGAGTTTTTTTTTCTAAACATAAAAATAGATTTAAATTTTTGTGAATATATTCGCTGCAATATTTCTTTCCTTTTTTTTATGAAATCATGCTTTTTGGGTTCTCTGCAAAATATATTGTTTTCTTATTAATTTTGATTTCTCAATAAAAATAAAATAAAATTTTTACTTTATTTTGTAACAGTCGTTGAACAGCCGACCCAATTTTTTGGGTTTACGACCACTAGTGTTCAACTCCGTAGCCTTGTGATTTTGAACCCAATCCAGAAGACAAGGGAGCTTCTGGACCAAGTATTAGGAGAAATTTTGCTTTCATAGATTACTTTTCGATGGAAGGAGAAGAGAACCATGAAAACTTCCCACGGTTAGCCTGACGGAAAGGGGACTCTATCTCATGATCCGTATACAGATAATATTTCACGTCAGTACTGTGGTTGGTGCAAGCCGGATGCGGATTCGTTTTGACCAGCCATCCCTGGGATTCGAACGCGGTTCGCCTTATTGGAAGGCAAACGCTCTATCCCCTGAGTCGCTCAAATAAGATTTATTTATTTATTTGTTTATATTTTATAACAGCCGACCCAATTCTGGATTTACGACTGCCAATACTCAACTCCGTATCCTTGTAATTTAGATCCCAATCCAGAGGAGCTCATCGATCAATACCCCCAGAGGTATTGACTTGATATGGGAACTTGGGAGGACACGGGGAGTCTTAGGCCGGCGGAGATCGACCCCACGATCTTTTCGACATGGGCCCAGTGCCCTACCAACCAGGCTATCCCGGCCTTAAATAAGATTTATGGTAAATTTTGTTTTATCATTAGCATTTTCCTCCTAATATAAATTTCAAAAACCAGAGCCGTTGTAATTGAAAGGGACATTCGTCTTGTTCTCAGCATTTTTTGGTTAAAATTTCGAAAAATGTGTCTTTTAATCGAAGTGTATATCGATAAAAATTTAAGCATAGCTTTTGCATAGCCTAAGCATCTCTCCTTCAGTAATTAGGCGAATATCTAACAGTAAAAGAGGGGGCCCGCAGAAAATGTAGATTAAAAGGGCCCTGTGAAATGTTTACCTTACCCACCCACCCCCCTCCCCTAAGTGCGGCAACTGCGCTGTTAAAAACCTCTCGCCGATATCTAAAAAGATGTATTAAATCATAGTTTGAAGTTTTTTTTCCTTTTCGACATTTTTAACAAATTGTATCCCTCTTCCTCAAAAGTAGATCCAATCCCAGTGCAGCAACCCTTTAATACCCATGGAATGCGTTGACAGAAGTCTCCCCGTGTCTTCTCCCCCCGACATGGAAGTTACGTGCAGACGATAAGAATGAGTGATGGGGTCGTCACGCCTTCCTGCATTCTCCCTAAATGGGAGAGAGAGTAGGATGAAAGAAGAAAAAAATGACCCACGGGGGGGGTGGAAAGTGATAGGTGTTTTTCACAGCCTAGTTCCTTATTGGGGGCATTCACTAGGTTATTTACACAATTAGAAAGGAGTGATTGGTTTTGGGGGGATAGCCTGCGAATTGTTTGGGTCCAATCACTGCGTATCGATGTTACGCCTGACTTATTATAGGAAGGGGAAAAAAAAACATTTTAAACTAAATTTTGAGTGATAGCCATCTTCAGAATCTAAACAAACATCTTGAGGCTATTTGTTTATTCATTTCTTTTTGTTTATTAATTTCCTTATTCAAAACTTCGAAGAATAAGTTAACATGCTCAACTCACATGTAAACTGGATGTTCTTTCCCCCCCACTTAATCATGTTATTTTTATTTTTTTTAGTTTTTTTTAAAATCTATTTTTAGCTCTGAATTAAACCCTACAACTTTCTTTTTAATTTAATCATGCTCCCATTTGACCATAAAATGTCCTAAACCTTCGAAATTATTATGTTCAGGAAGCAGTTAAAATTTTNTTTTAAAAAAAAAAAAAAAAAAAAAAAAAAGAATGTACAAGAATTTTTGAAATTTTTTAAATAGAACTTAATTTAGGAGAAAGAAGACTTTGAAAAAAAATCTACTAGGAGTTATAGCAGTGAAGTTTTAACCGCAATAAGCAAAACAGAAAAAGTTTCTAAAGAATATTCTAAACAACATTTTACGAACTGAATTGAATTATAAATTTTGTTTTATACAAAGTTAAAGCAAAAAACGAATGAGTGCGTCTTTCTTGGGTAAGCGTAAGAGAGCCTTGTGAATGGCTTATTTTTGTTGATAAAAGAAGTGTCCAAAAATGCTCTAAAAGGTGCTTAGGTAATATTCTAGCGATTTTTTTTTTCGCTATACACTTGTCGATATAAAGCGATCTGGTAAATAGTCGAGAGTAATGAAAGTAATTTGTAATGTATGTTTAGAAAAATCTCCATCTATTGTCAATCATGCAGGTGCTTTTACTTTAATTTTTTTTATTATTAATTTATATTCGTAGCTGCCGACTCTACACTGGATTTTCCAGTAGACTACTGGATTTTGCCAGTTTCTCCTGGTTTACTGGTTTCATTAAAATTCTCCTGGTTTTTAGACATTTTTGAAAATTCCCTAAAATTGAGTAAGTCTCCTAAAAATATCCCTATTGAAATAGAATTTTTGTACAGATTATTGCTTTTGCTGGAATATTAAAATAAATATTATTAATGCATAACGAAGCGAACCTCATTTATAGAAATCAGTTCAAAACATGTTTTGTTCTTAAATAATCAGTTTATTTTTTATTCAGAATTCTCTTTTTAAATGAATTAAAAATAATCTTTTAACTATCTTGTATGAATTAAATGCCTATTATGCAATTCGAAATGATGAGGAAACATCATAATAAATAACATTCCTGTCTGTTTAATGTCTTCACTGGAAAATGTTGCTGTTTTTCTATTGATGACTACAAAAATCCCTAAAATTCTCTATGCGTAACATTTTAGTAGCAGTTATTAATGGAATTCCGTAAAATCTTATGTTGAATATATTTAATTTGTGCGGGAGGAGGATGCCTAGAAATTAAAGTGCTCATCATTCTTTCAGATTGATCTGTCATACGATATGGAATCCCTCCAGGATGATTATACTTTGATGGACGTTGCTTATATATTTCTTTGGAAGAGGGTGAGTCTTTTACTGGTTTTTTTTTTCAATTTTTAAAACCTAATTTTTAAATAAATCTTATTTTTTGTATCCGTCGTTGAACACCCGACTCAAATTTTGTGTTTACGGCTATTCATGTTCAACTCGACAGCCTTGTCACTTTGAACCCAATCCAGAAGACAAGGGAACTCCTTCGTCAAGTATCTGGAGAAATTTTGCCTTCGTGGAGAACTTTTTGATAGAACTAACTGCATTTGCGTTACATGATGAAGAAGACCACGAGAACCTCCCACGGTTAGACTGACAGCAATTGGACTTGATCCGTCTACCACTTGGACTTCACGTCAGCACTAAGGTCAGTTCGAGCCGGATTCGTACAGCACCTCCTAGAAAAGCCCCAACACTAGTTACCATAAATATCCTTTAGTAGTCCAAACGTAATGACATATTTCGTATTTTCAACCACTGCGCAGTTAACTTCGTCACATCGGACTACTAAATTGATCCGTGCTGAGGCCTTCCTACTTCTAGGAGGTGTGTTGATTCGTATCGACCAGCCTTCACTGAGATTCGTACACGTTCACCTCATTGGGTGGCTCTATCCCCTGAGCCATTGCGGCTCTATTTATTGACATGAGTTGATCTATGAATTTGCCCAATATATTTCATACTTCGAGAATTTGACGGATAATAGTACTTAGATGCTGGAGAAGCCAAAAGGATCAAGTTTCATCACAAGGATCAGTTTTATATATGAATTGTTCACCGACTAACAAATTATTATTTTTTTTCATAATGTACTGTCTTTTTAGATTCATTACAGTATACAAAAAGACTTTGTTCACAATACATTTTTTTACTGTAAAAAAAATTCGAAAAAAAATAACAATAAATGAATTAAATGGTAAATAAATACTTATTTAATTTAACTATGAGTTTGTTAATGAAATCTGAAATTGAGTTAAACGGATGAATGTATACGACAAAATTTATTTAAGTCTCGTTATAATTTCAGTTAAAAATCCAAAACTATAACTTATGAGTGAATTTAAGTTGTCCTATTTTTAAATACAGTTCCTGGCCAAATTATGATACCATGTAAAATCCTAATTATCAGTAATACTATACAGCTGTATTGTTTTGACGCGGCTGAAGCCGGTTTGCATTTGTTTACTTTCGTGCACCAATGGGTTAACATTGTAATGCAATAAGTTAAAAATAAATGCAAATAGGAAGTATATAAAAAAATCTCCCGCATAAAAACCCAAGACATGCATGTTTAAGTATGAAAGTATTGCATACAAACTCGTGCAAAACATGTCATTATTAAATAACTACAAAGCGTCTAATAATTGGGTCTAATTATTATACTATGCTAACATGATACCTGATATAATAAATATTCTATATTTATATAAATCGTCTAATTTATCCAATTTTCGAATTTATATTATATATCGTCTAATTTATCCAATGGATACACGGACATGTGCTAACCGGTGTCACGTAAAAGTAATAAAGCTGTATAGTATCAACTGATAATTAAGATTTTGCGTAGAATCCTACAGTGCGTTTAGTAATTTAGCCAGGAACTGTAGAATTAAATAGAATTTTTTTTTTTTTTTTAAATTTGCGTCACGCAGTGGACTGATCGTTAAGACACTATTCCCAGCAGATCACTGAAGTCAAGCATCACTGGCTGCGGTCAGTGTGCGGGTGGGTGACCTCTTGTATAAGTCTGCGTAGGAACCGAGGATGTGCGGTATTAGTTCTCGTTAAACTGTTCTACCGTAAAGTGCTCGACTTCGCGTGCAGGTCATCGGTCTACCGAAGCGGGTGTGCCATCCCCTCTGCAGAGGATCAAAATTGTGATGGCATGTCTTCGGATCATCCTCGGGGATGTTTCCCAGACCGTCGCCAATAGCCCACTGTGCAGCTCTAGTCCGACTGAACTACAACTTTAAAAAAATTGATAATTTGCTATATTAATTTGTAAAAGTTCCATGCAGCTCGAAAAAAAAATGGAGGGAACGTTGCTTAAAAAGTTTATTTTACCGTCATAAGGAACTCAGAACCGCATTACCGAAATTTAAATCATTCTTAGAAGGTGATGATATTAAAAGTACTACATGGTGCGTAGTGTTTTTAAAAAGTGCTTAAAGGTGCTTTATTTCAATTTTCGTTTTTTAAAAGCCCTTAAAGGTGTTTTTTTATGGGATATTTTTAAAAAGTGCTTAATTTTCCCTTTTCGAAAATTAGATTTTTTTTCCTTCCTTACCATGTCGATTTTCGCTGTGTATTATGCAAAAGCGTGGTTTTCACATTGTTCTATTCAACATTCTCACAATTAATTCGACTGCCATCCATATCAGGGCACCGTCGGTCCGAAAATTATGATGACGCCAATCGTGTTACATATTTGAGTCCGCATTTGCGTCTTCTGAGCAGGCTAGATTGCACTCTCATGTGCGCATTTTGTAAGATATTCTCAATTTCAGGCTTCATTTTCCACCCTCTGAAATCGAACCGAAAAAATCTCTCGTTCTTTTTATGGTATCTAATATAGCCAAGAAAAGAGTTCTTTGTCAGAAACTAGTTATTTTATCATGATCATGTAAAATCTTTGAGAATGAGTTTGCATTTTGTTAAGGTATACAACGCTTAAAAATATTTTTTGAGTGGATAAAAAATACTTTAAAGGTGCTTATTTTTCTGTTGAGAGATTTGGCTACGCACCCTGTATTAGTATAACTATATTTTATTTACTTTTGCAGAATGGACCGATGAGATTTTTCTACAGAATCTTAGAGCACCCTCCGAAAATGAAAGCCGAGACACAACAAGGTGAGGAAGTTGAATTGAAATCAGAAAGTTCTCTTCAGTCTTTAGAAAACGACGACGATGTTTGCGAAGAAGAGTGTCCTCCTTCGCACAGTATCTTGGCTTCGAAGGAAGAGAAAAAATCCGATAAAGTCAACGCCAAATTCACTTGCAATAATACAGATCAAAAAATTGAAATCTCCGAGCAAAAGATAGAAGACATCGATTCAAAGAATGAAGAAAAATCCTCGTTGTCCAGTCCGATTTCTAAAAAAGAACTCAAAACAACGATAGCAAAATTTTTACCTGCATCAGGATCCAAAAGCACATCGTCCGACAGCAAGCCTGCTGTGATGACTGTTGCTCCTCTAACAAAACCATCTTCCTCGCAACCTACAACAAGTACAACATCATCGAATGGCACGATCACCCATGGACTGTATACTGGAATATCCATCAAAATATCACCACCGAATACTTCGCCACCCTTTAAGATATCTTCTCACCTGTTACCCCCTAGGGTTCCACCTTTGAAATTGTCACCCCCCAGATTTTCACGTCTTGAAAACTGCATTCGACAGTTATCGCCCAAAGAATCCTCCAAGAAATCATCATCGCAAGGAAAGAAATCCAAGTCCTCAAAGGGGTCGTGTGATAAGTTGGAATCCAAAGTGGCGCAATTGAAATCGGCATCCATCAAATGTGTGGCACCCCTTGTTATAAGTGTTCCTCCTGAAATCAAAACGGAACTCCGGAAAGAAAATCATCAAGCCGCCTCCAGTTCAGAGAAGAAGGATTCGAAACCTGCAGTGGAAGAACCAGCGGCTGCTAAAGAATACAAAATTGTGCAAGAGGATGACAAAATGGATTTGGACCTATTCGAAGGTCCTCTCGTGATTGCCGAACCCGATGTCCCCGTTAAAGAGGACTCGGAGAGTTCCGAAGACAAGCCGAAGGAAGAAGACGACTCTAAGCACGTAGATACAGAAGATGAAGAAATAGATGTCGTGGATGATGTCGACAGCGGAAGAGGAAGTGACAGAACTGAGGCTCGATCATTGTCTGGTGATGACGATTTGGGATCACCAACAGATTCTGTTCCAAAAACGGCGGAACCTCAAAAATCCATTCAAAATGACTCGGAAGAGGAACCGAAGGCAAAGATTCCGAGATGTAACGGCGTTACTCCAGTGAACGGTACTGTGTCTAGTACAAGCAACGACAGTGGTGTGTTAGATCTCTCACCGTGCAATAGGAAAAGGAGCCATGACGGTGACATGCCTGTTCATCGTTCCAAGCAGGTCGCCAACCCAGCCGTCTTAGACAAAACTCGCCAAACTACTCCGTGTCGACTGCCGGATCATTCGTCATTCAAAGTATTATCCGCTGTGCTTCCTCACGTTGGCATCTACAAAAACAAATCAGATAATCATGGACGCAACTTCAAGTGCCGAGGAAATACCCTTACTGTGATAAATCCGGACCCGAACGGCAACAGACCTAAGATAGTGATTAAGAATTTAGGTCCCAGAATAGAACGATTTCATCACCATCATAGTCATCACCATCACCATCAAAGAATGTAAAAATAAGATTGTTGTATCTTCTTAGTACTATTATTTAGAATACCTAGTGAATTTATTAAATGCTATGCTTTGTGAGGAAAAACCGAATTTCTTCGTTAAACAAATCCTGGGTTAAAACGTACCTTTTTAACATATAAAAACATTTTCGTTTATAAATTACAGTCGGTCCTCTATTTAACGAAGTCACTGAATCTCGATAATAAGTTCGTTTTATGGAAAATTCGTTAAATAGAAAATCACCATTTGAAATACTTAAAGAACACAAAACAGGTCTTAAATTAATTAACACTGGACATAATTGAAATAGCAATGGATGCACCTTCATCTTCTAAACTAGTATCTACTATTTATTTTATTAATCTTAAAACCATAACAGAAATCTGCAGAGAAAGCAAGAATAGAGCAAAACATTTTCCAGTGTTATACTATCATGCTACATACATTTTCAACTAAATTTATGTATTAAATTATAGCCGCATTTATTATATAAGTAACTTTAAGCATACGTTACCACATGCGATCTTAGGTTTAATTGCTACTGATAGAATCCATTGATTTTGTCTGAGTTTTTCGTTCGTAAATACTGCTTTCTCTAAATGGCTGCGAAAATCAATTCAAAGCTCATTTCCACCATAAAATGCGTTATCAAGTGTGTAATATTTTGAGAAATAGAGAAAGTGGATCTCAAAGAAAGGTTCGTTAAATAGGAAACTAACTTCTCTATTTGGAAGTTATTTTACGAAGAAATTTCCAAAATATTCTTCGTTCCTCGAAAAAATTCGCAAAATAGAGAAATTCGTTAAATAGAAGTCCGACTGTATTAAAAATTAAGTAAAATATTTCTTTAAGAGTCGCATGAATTTACACCTAACTTTTATTTTTTAAAAAGGTTGTGATTGATGTAATCCGTTTAAAATTAGGTTTTATTTTGAAACAATTTATGTAACAGAAATATTTTACTCGTAAATAAATATTTGCATTGAGTTACCTTAGACGTATATTTTATGGAATATTTAAAGAGGTCTTATTCAACTTTAAAATTGATTCAATTTTTTATGCTGGTCTTAGTTAGCTTTAAACTTTATTACATTTAAATTTGGAATTAATGTAAAATTAATTAAAAAAAATTTAATTTGAGCTTGATTAGCTAGTAAATTAGTTTTTTTAGCAATGATAAGGTTGGCCCGACTTTTAAATTGTGTTTTAAAGTGTAGTTTTTGGTATTACGCAATAAAAACGCTTCAATTTTAAATATGCTATGGAATAGCTTAAGTATAACATTTATTTTTTTAACACATTTTTTTTATCAAACAAACCTATGATTTTAGGAGTTTTAAAGGAATATTATTCAATGTTTTGTAATTTTAGAAAACTTTTCTAGCTTTTGAGTCATTACTTTCTACAATTTTGAGTAATTTCTATTCTAGATTTTTAATTATATATTCTTTAATATTTTGGCTTTAAAAGAGGTTTTCTTTAAATTTTTTTTAAAATTCTATTATTATTTTGAATTATACAGTCCCTGGGCAAATTACTAGACGCACTATAAGATTCTATGTAAAATCTTAATTATCAGCTTTTTTGCGCGACTGAAAGTGGTTTTCACTTGTTTATGTTCGTGTACCAATGGGTTAACATTGTAATGCAATACGTTAAAAATAAATACAGATAGGGAGTATATCTTATGGATAAAAACCCATGACACGTATGTCTAAATATAAAAGTATTGCATGTAAACTCTTGCAAAACATGTCATTATTAAATAATTACAGTGCGTCTTTTAATTGGGTCTAATTATTATAATATAATAACCTTATATAATAAATATTCTGTATTTATATAGTTTATCGACTCATTTATATTATATGTCGTCTCATTTAACCAATGGATACACGAACGTAAACAAGTGCAAACCTGTTTCAGTCACGTAAAAACAATAAAGCTGTATTTAAGATTTTGCATAGTGCGTCTAGTAATTTGGCCAGGGACTGTACAGTTGGAAATTTGAATAGAATATTTAGTTTCTTTCTTACTGCATGATTACAATTTATTACTTTCAGAGAAAATAATAAATTTTTAGATATAATATTTGATAGCGTGAAAATGTTATAAATGTATTATAATGTACTCGTTTGAAAAAAAATCACGCTTATGAAAAATTGATTTAATGAGCTTCTTGAAAAGTGCAATCGCGTTATCGCAGAAAACTACATAAAGAGTAAAAGAAGTACAAAAGTTTCGTAGCGATCATTGTTTGTTTTGAATTCCTTTTTTTTTTTAGAACGCTGTAATATTTGCTTATTGGTTTTGCATCTAAATTATTTAAAATATAAGCTCCACGCTAGAAAATGACCCATTCAATGGAGTGTCAGATTAACCTTCTCACACGTTTAACCTTTCATGTTGACCTATGAATTCAATATATTATTTATTGAGGCACTTTATTTCATTTTAGGTATTGAAATGCATTTTATGGAACTTAGTACCTAAATTTTAAGGGGTTAGTCAATTTTCCCAAAATTTTTAATAATTGTCCTTTTAAAGTTTTTCTTTTTTTTTTCCCAATGCCCGCCTGGGGAATGATCTGCGTCATACAGGGATCTGAAGGGTATATTTGTCGACCACTTTTCCAAGGGCACACTATTAGGTGGGCCGACGTTACTCCCACAGTAAGGGCAGAGAATGAAAGAACATCCATGCCTTGCCTGGGATTCGAAACCAGAACCTTTCTGATGCAAGGCCAGTTCCATGGCCCCTACGTAGGCCGGTCGACGTCCTTTTAATGTTGATTGAATAATCCCTCCCCATAATTCAGAATACGTCTGTAATTAGCTATCATAATCAGCAGTGTTTTTTAAAAAATTATCGAGGTCGCAACTGGTGTGGTCTTATTGAGCAAATAATTTGGACTTTTTTATTAGTAAATATGAAGTGCCTAGTTTCTAATTCCTTATATTTTTTTAGCTTTTAGTAATTAACCCTCTAAATTTTTTTTTTAAACTTAGGGAGTTCTACTGCCAATCACGTAAAATTTCGCTACTATAATTTATTTATTTTATTTTTTTTGCATTGCATTGCATTTATAGAATACCCATTTCAATTTCTGTTTCAAATGGGGGGGGGGGGGGGGGNGAGGTTGAATAAATAGAATTATACTGCTTTTCTTTATTTTTAAATAGAATTTTTTTTTTTTTTAAAGGTGAAATAATATTTTTATTTTTTTTTTTGAAGTTGTCTTTTATTTCAAATTTTATGAAATATTGTACAATGTTTGTAAATAATAATGGGCCTGTACACATTGTTGAAATGTCCTATACAGTACAAAAATAAAAAAACTAAGTCTATATAGTGTATTGTTCTTTTTTTATGTGAATTTATTGTTTTGAAAAAGAAGAAAAGAAGAAAGTTCTGTAAAAATTGTTTAAAAATATTGGATAAATTTTTGTGAAGATGGTCATTCTATGATATTTTTTGGTCATTTTTATTGTTTCAATAATATATTTATGAGATTTAAAAGCAAAAATGTTAATTTTGTATTTAATTCGTAAAGTGTTTCATATAAAAATAGTTCTTATTGTATGAAGCGCTGTGTTTCATGTTTTTTTATAATAATTCCCCCCCCCTCGATAATATATCAATTTAAATTTTTTGCGTTCTAATCCTTAACTTCAGACGAGGAGACAGAGCGCGTCAACGATTATTTTATTGTAACCTGCAGTATTTATGCAAGGGTACTTCTTATTAACAACCTTCAAGTAATATCCTTGTCGAAAATGAAAAGTTTTCAGATAAATCTCGAACTAGTATAAGGAATCGAAATCACTAGTGAGGAGAGCTGATTTGTTTCGATTGCTGGAATAAAGAGGGAGAGCCACAGTTTTGTAAAAATGAATAACACTGTGTTCAAAATTTTTAATGCACTGCTGTGAGAAATGAAGAGAATTTGCAGACTGGATCGATTATCTCTAGAACTACTGGACCGCTTTCAATGAAATTTGATATGTACATACATTGATGATACAAAACAAAACAAGTAACCATTCAACAATTGTAATACACACGCATGATAGTGCAAACACTCTAAGTCGGAAGGTATGAAACAGCTGTTGCAGAATAAACAAACAAAAAATGGGTTAATAAGGTGTATACAGATTTACAGCCTTGCAGCGTAATTTCATACTTGAAATATGGCAGTATATCATTTCCTGTGAGCAATTGTCCTGTGTCAATGTAATACCTCCCAACGAGTGTTACGCATGCGCGTGTATTGAATGGTTATTTGTTTTGTAGTGTATCAAAGCACATTCAAAACTGTCCAGTAGTTCGACCAAATCTGCAAATTCTCTTAATTCCTTACACCAGTGTGTATATACTACTGGTATAATGAAACTATGAGGTGTTCATTGTTGTACAAAGTATAAATGTGGCGTGTACATGACTTGCTTTTGAAAAATGTAAATATTAAATACATTTCCACTGTATTTACTTTAGTTTTAGAGTTTCTGCAAAGTTTATAAATGAGTGTATGTTACAAAATTTATGTTGATAGTTTCTTTGGTTGAGTTTTGCTGTTAAAAATGTATTTCAGTTTAAAATGTATTCCGAAGGAAAAAGTTGTATGTTAAGTGTGAAAACATATTGTAACTTGTACAGAAAGTTAAAATAAAAGTGCATATTGTTAACATTAGCTATGCAATTTCATTTTCTTTCTATCACACCATTATTAATTTCAATTTTTCTCGCCAAACCAACTGAATGAACCATTTTAGTTTCCCTCTCCAATCCAGCTGAATGAACCATTTTAGTTTCCCTCTCCAATCCAGTTGAATGAACCATTTTAGTTTCCCTCTCCAATCCAGCTGAATGAACCATTTTAGTTTTCCTCTCCAATCCAGCTGAATGAACCATTTTAGTTTCCCTCTCCAATCCAGCTGAATGAACCATTTTAGTTTCCCCCTCCAATCCAGCTGAATGAACCATTTTAGTTTCCCCCTCCATAAACCAACTGAATTAATTATTTTAGTTTCCCCGCCAATCTAGCTGAAATTAAGCTACATTGTAAAAAGACTTGGTAAATCTTTAACCAGTATTTGGTGCAAAGTTTCTCACTATCCCAAAGTTTAGTTAAATAAAAGATCGTTTTTTTTTTCAGTTGCACCATAAATTGTGAAGTATGGTCGAGAAATATTTTCACGGTTCAACTGACTACTCCAAAATTTGGTAAAAGACTTTGACGGTGACTGTAAACTAAACGATATTTGTTTTCGAAGCCATGTTTTCTTTACAGCTCGGTCCCGGTGTTTCGGGACGACTAAGGCACGTTGTTTCTGTTTATTTAAGTAGGTAAATGGCTCATTTACTAAAGTTCATTTCTCTTATATTGCCTTTTTAAATTTGGTTGACGGTATAATAAAATGGTTAGAGGTATGTCATTAAATAACTTCTTACGGTAAATAGCTTCCTCGGCCTGCATTTGAGCATTTTAAAAATACCTAATAAGGGTGCAACCTTCCTCTGCTTTTATAAAAGGAAAGAAGAAGAAAAATGAACGAAAATAGGTATTTTGTTTCTTCAAAACACCTACTTTCTGCACAATCTTTCACTGATTGCAAAAATATGGTGAAATTGAGCTCGATTTTATGTAGCCAGCAAATAGATACTAATTTTTGGTGCTATGGGGCTCGGAACAGTGTATGGAGGACGAAGTGTATGGAACAGTGTATGGATGTGACCAAAACTATCTCTAAAAAACTGCAATTATTATTATATATACATTTTGTTTTTGTAAAAAAAATTCAATTTTAATTTATTGGAAACTGGTGACTTTCTTGAACCAGGTAATATTTCAGTAAATATTTCC